TCTACTGTCTCACAGATTTCAAGTATACAATATGGTATTAATAACTACAGTTGCTAATCAAAGGTTAGTTGACTGCATATGCATGGGTTTATTTCTGAGCTCTCTATGCTATTCATCGGTCTGTGTGTCTGTTCTTATGCCAGTACCATACCGTTTGATACCACAGCTTTGTAATATAATTTAAAATAAAACGTGATGATTCCAACTTTGTCTTCTTGTTCATGATTGCTTAAGCTATTATGGGTCTTTTGTAGTTGATTGCTTGTCTCTAATTTGTTTAGTTCTTTTTCTGGAGCTTTGTCCTGTTCTTCCATTTGGGGCATGTTTCTTTATCTCCCCATTTTGGCTGCATCCCTGTGTTTGTTTGTTTGTATTCAGTAGGGCTGCTTGCCTCCTGGTCTTAGTAGAGTGGCTTTATGTAGTAGGTGTCCTGTGAGGCCCAGTGACATAGTCTCCCTAGTCAGCAGAGCCTGGTGCTCCAGGTGTGTCACTTGGGTGGGTTGTATGTACCTTCCTCTTGTAGTTGAGCCTTGGTTGCTGTTTGCACGTCAATGGGAGGGACTGACCCTTGTGCTCATTGGTTCTGAGGACTGGCCTTGACTACAGTGGAAGAGCTGTGGTGTAGGGACTCACCCTACAGAGCAGGATTCATTTTAGCAGGGCTTTGGTGTCTGCGCTGTGTTCCCTTTCGGTGTGTCATCCTTGGAGTTGGCCAGGTGATGCTCTTCCTTGTTCCCAAGCTGGCCTCTGGCTATGCCAGTCCCGGGGCCTTCTTGGTGAGGACACACTGTAGGCCAAGTTCGGCACAGCCTATGCCCTGCCCAGGGCCACCATGGCATGAGCCACCAAGCAATCTGCAGATGGCCACCACTCACACTGTGCTTGTAGGTGCCTGAGAGGCCACGCTTGGAACTGAAGTCAGCTGTTGCCATTTTTACACTCCGATGAGTCTAATATTTTCACACGTTTTTTAAAAAAATGTATTGTTAGATGGTGTATCAAGAGCCAGAGCTGGCATCTCCTGCATGGCTGATAGAGACAGCCTCTTCCCTTATTTTGTCCCCAGCTGTCTTCAAACATCACCACTAAGGTGTGCTCTCCAGCAATCCTTTCTGCATAGTTATTTTTATTAATTGGATTCTGGAGTACTCCCAGGGCTATATTTCCTACTCCGCCATCTTGCTGATGTAACGCCTCTAGAATTGCTATTATTTCAAAATTTACCTCTTTTATACCAAAACACATTTTATTGTCCCTTAAAGTTGATTCCATTAATTCGTGTAT